TCATCTGTAAAATAAGAAAGTCTTTTATTCCACCCAGTGTTTATAATTACAAGAACACAGAATGTAAAACTCAGATGCTAGAACTGAGATTTAAGATTTAAATATTTTGTTTAAATAAATTTTTATGCTTGAAAAAAATCTTAATCGCACACATGGTCAGTGAGAAACTAAACTCGAATCTAACGAAATACGCTAGAAAGAGGTACTCACTCTCATGACAAAGTTTTTCTTGACGAAGAAGAATCCGCCGACAGAAATACCAATCGGGGTCTTTCCGAATCTCTTCATGAAATCTAGAAACTAATCAGATAAGTTTATTAATCAAATTGTTTACGGTTAAAAGGCGAATTTAATAATTAATCGAGTATTTCGAGCGATGTCAACCTTGAGTTTGTTTTCAATTTTCATGTGGACGGAAGAAAATCTTCTGATTTCTATGAAGCTATTGTACAACTGAAAAATAAAGAAATGAAAATTATTTTGATTAATATTCTATTAATTATTTTTAGAATAAGTTTGCGTTAAACTCTGCATTGTAAAGTATCTATATATTAATATATAACCCATTGAAAGGGTACCCGTCTGCGTAACGGTATGCCAAAAACGGGCGCTAGAGTCGCCCTATTGATAATTCTAAATTAACAATAAATTATTTTATTTTTAATAGGAATTTATTATTGATACGAATTTATTATTTATACCACAGAATGGTATAAATAATTATTATTTGCCTCGATTAAGCTTGCGCCGCACGTTTACGACATCCCGTGACTCAGTGAACGTCGCGCATTGAGTCACGGGAAATTTGTTGAAAAAATGGCGGATACATTTATAATCGAGGTTTACGAGCGAAGGTAAATAAACAAATTAAACTATTTTAAAGTATTTATAGAATGTTTAATAGGTAGAAATATAGATTCGTATGACGCGATTGGGACGGTAAGATTTACCTTCCGAATGAAGGGGTGGCGACCCCCCTCTGTGGGAACAATAAATGTCTAATGAACCATACCCCTACGCGCGACCCTTCCCGGATTTACAAGTAAAAAGCCTCAACTTTCAAAGGACCTCAAACATTTGTACAAAAAAAGAAAATTGAAGTGAGATTTTGTAATAAGCGTCAAAATATACTTCACTGTTTATTTTGTGTAGTATTTCATTAATTTTTTTTCTAAGAATTAACATAAGATCTGTTTTAAAAAAATTGATAAAACCAATTTAAAAGAATCATTTTTAATGGAATGGGTATAAAAATATAATTAAACTTAGTTATAGAACAGAAGACTAGTGAAACCTCGCGTTTTTTTCTTCCAATAACCGTATTAAATCAGAGTCATAGTCTGATTTAATCTTTTCTTTTTATGATTGAATTCTAAAATTGTGAAGGGTGGGTTAAGGGGCCTTAGAGTTCAGCTTAGGGCTTCAAAATGCTTAAATCCGGCCCCGTGTCCTATACAAAATTACTGGCATTTTAAACTTTAGCGAAATGTTCTAAAATCGACAGCATAAAGCTGGACAATCGGGAAACTACCAATTCTTAAATATTCGGTATTCGGCCGAATAGTGAAAAATAGGCCGAATAGGCCGAATACCGAATAGTAACCGAATATTCGTTACATCACTAATTAATATTACATTTTTGTATGAATATCGGCGCATTCGCTATATAAATTTGTAACGTTCCTTCATTATGTAGCCCGGGGTCACTAACGAAACGTACATTTCAATACCAAAAAAAATTTTGGTTAATCGATCTGGTGTATTCCTTCCTCTTCTACTGGCGTCATTATTGACCATGGCAGGAGGACTAATTGGCACGGTAATAGTAAAAAGAATCTAATGGCGAAAAAACAGGTCGCCGAATGAACCTATCAGAGTATCTGTCGTACCAGATGAAATTCAAGAAGCATCTTCTGAACCGTAAGTAAAACCTAGTGATGATGATGATAATGGAGATGCAATTATTAAACAAATAACTATATCTTTCCCGCAGTTATATCGAAAATATATTCCGCATTTAATCGACAATCTGAAACAAAATCATTATGGGTGAAACGTAAAAAATGAATTAACAGTTAATGGTAAACGTGTTTTAGGGAAGGTTAACTTAATATCGTATTTAATGAGAAATAGAAAAACGCCGTTAGACTCGATTGGTTTTAATGAGTTTTTTTTAGGAATTTCAAAATAAATATATAAATATTCCTAAAGCTCTGAATGTTATAATAGGTTAGTAAAAAATTTGTTTTAAAAATTTAAAATTAATCATTATTCCACTCATTCAGATACCAAAGCTTTCGTGGTTGACTTTAAATAAAATTTGCGAAAATAAAATATATAGATTATTTACTTATCGTAATTCTTATCAATATGTCGACAAATTAAACAATATTGTAAAAGGATATAATAATAGTTTTTACAGAAGTATCGGTATGGCTTCATCTGAAGATAGCCTTTTGCATTAAGGCACAATTTTTGATAGATTATATGTAAGTATATATAAATATGGACTTGTTTCTTGTAAATACAGTCTCGTTTCATAATGAAAATGAGTCCGAATATTAATTTACACGAAAATTGAGCAATGGGACTTAGCCAAGTTATTATTTCAAGAAACTGGTTTCACACTTTACTAATATTTAAAATTAATATAATTAAACAAAAAATGCTTAAAACTGAAGAAAAAACAAAAGAAATGCGTTATTTTTGAAGAGAAAGCTTCAAAGTTTAACTTCCATTGTCTCGCCTTTCTGTGAAATCTGACACCGATGAGTCATTGTATTTACAGCTGGATGACCTTGATAACAGCTGGTGTTGGTTTTCCCGGGACATTCTCATAGAAATCTAAAAAAAAGGGCTGAAAGTAGAGTAAATACTAGCTGGCCGTATATTTTTAAATATTTTTAAAAAATTACGTTTTTTACTGCGATTTCCGACCCCCCGACTTCATTAAACGTATATATAATAAAATCTATTAATCAAAAAAATTAAAAAACTATTGGAAGTAGTTTTTGACATCATAAACTAGCTTTAAATAACTTTATCGATGTAAAACCTATGCACTACTTAAGAACGATGAATAAAATTTGATAAAAAAGTCGCATTGAAAATCAATTAAGAGTTAATCGTGAGTCATTAAAGGTAGATTAAAATCGCGATAAAATTTTTGAAGAAATTTGGAGACTTAAAAAATATCCAAAAATCCAAATTTTCTAAAATATGAGTATTTCTAATTTATTTATACAGATCTATAATGCAAATTGTTTTTTTAATTTTATTACGATTATAGCAAGATCGCAAATTAGACAATTTGCTAATTTAAATACAATTTATTTGTATACATGTTGCCTTCATACAACTAATTAATATGAATTAATCTTACTTATATTTAATCAAGTAAAATTTCATAATTTCAATGTTACTTTTTTGTCCTTTGTGGAAGACCATATTTGCATACCGGGCGTATTGAATGGTACAAACGCTTAATACTGCTGGATAAGCAAGCCAATAGCGTATCCTGTTTCAAGTGAAACGACCCGTGTCATTGGCTTGATTATCTAATTTTATTATAACTGGTTTAACACACCCTCTGTGTCGAGTATAAATATGGACGAATGATTCGTTTTGTTATTGTTCTGCATTTTCAAAATCGACAATTAACATTTTGTTAAGAAAAAATGGACGCTGCAAAGGAAGCTGCAAAGGAAGCTACAAAGGAAACTGCAAAGGAAACTGCAAAGGAAACTGCAAAGGAAACTGCAAAGGAAACTGCAAAGGAAACTGCAAAGGAAACTGCAAAGGAAACTGCAAAGGAAACTGCAAAGGAAACTGCAAAGGAAACTGCAAAGGAAACTGCAAAGGAAACTGCAAAGGAAACTGCAAAGGAAACTGCAAAGGAAACTGCAAAGGAAACTGCAAAGGAAACTGCAAAGGAAACTGCAAAGGAAACTGCAAAGGAAACTGCAAAGGAAACTGCAAAGGAAACTGCAAAGGAAACTGCAAAGGAAACTGCAAAGGAAACTGCAAAGGAAACTGCAAAGGAAACTGCAAAGGAAACTGCAAAGGAAACTGCAAAGGAAACTGCAAAGGAAACTGCAAAGGAAACTGCAAAGGAAACTGCAAAGGAAACTGCAAAGGAAACTGCAAAGGAAACTGCAAAGGAAACTGCAAAGGAAACTGCAAAGGAAACTGCAAAGGAAACTGCAAAGGAAACTGCAAAGGAAACTGCAAAGGAAACTGCAAAGGAAACTGCAAAGGAAACTGCAAAGGAAACTGCAAAGGAAACTGCAAAGGAAACTGCAAAGGAAACTGCAAAGGAAACTGCAAAGGAAACTGCAAAGGAAACTGCAAAGGAAACTGCAAAGGAAACTGCAAAGGAAACTGCAAAGGAAACTGCAAAGGAAACTGCAAAGGAAACTGCAAAGGAAACTGCAAAGGAAACTGCAAAGGAAACTGCAAAGGAAACTGCAAAGGAAACTGCAAAGGAAACTGCAAAGGAAACTGCAAAGGAAACTGCAAAGGAAACTGCAAAGGAAACTGCAAAGGAAACTGCAAAGGAAACTGCAAAGGAAACTGCAAAGGAAACTGCAAAGGAAACTGCAAAGGAAACTGCAAAGGAAACTGCAAAGGAAACTGCAAAGGAAACTGCAAAGGAAACTGCAAAGGAAACTGCAAAGGAAACTGCAAAGGAAACTGCAAAGGAAACTGCAAAGGAAACTGCAAAGGAAACTGCAAAGGAAACTGCAAAGGAAACTGCAAAGGAAACTGCAAAGGAAACTGCAAAGGAAACTGCAAAGGAAACTGCAAAGGAAACTGCAAAGGAAACTGCAAAGGAAACTGCAAAGGAAACTGCAAAGGAAACTGCAAAGGAAACTGCAAAGGAAACTGCAAAGGAAACTGCAAAGGAAACTGCAAAGGAAACTGCAAAGGAAACTGCAAAGGAAACTGCAAAGGAAACTGCAAAGGAAACTGCAAAGGAAACTGCAAAGGAAACTGCAAAGGAAACTGCAAAGAAAGCTGTAAAGCAAGTTTCAGAAAAGTCAGTGGACATCAACATTTTATTTATATTTGATATAAAGGCACATTTAAAAATGAAAAAGTGGACTGAGGTAAGTATGAAATAATTCTATAAATTAAATTTTCAATCATTTTGATATTAAGTCAACATGTTATTTATGTACAGTATACACATCAAATTTTATACATAATTAGATTTACATGAATGAGTATCTGTACGTAATAAATGTTTTTTTTTTCTTTTTTTTCATTCAGATTTTGTGCATCTGCAGTGTCTTGTTAAGCATTCCAACTGCTCTTTTGACTTTGTCTTGGCTGGTTACGCCAGACGATAAAAAGAATAAGTCAAAAGAGCAGTAGACCACGTACATCATAAAATGCTCTTGTTTTATGCTGGTAAGCCGTTCGTATGATGTCAACGATGTGGTTAAAAACAATGTGTTTTAAAATGTGTTTTCTTTCTTACATCTTACATGTTTTTTTTTCATCTTACAGGACTTGATATGGAGCCAACGTCCCAGAGTCTTCATTGATACCTTACGGACAACTGGTCCATGACAGAATAACACGAAGTTTTTTGAGTCAGTTTTTATCAATTTTTAACGATGCAACTTTTTAAAATATTGTATAAAAAAAAATAAAATTTCTAATTTCAGAATAACAAAAAAATTACTGTTTTGGAGAATTATTTTCTTTTCTACTCGGTTTTTACAACAGGAAACAATACCCCCCGGAATATTTTTTATAATAAAAATAAACTTAAATCTTCATATATACAATTTTTTTTCTCAGATAACAAAGATGTTAAAATATAACAAAGATGTTAAACTATCAGCAGTTAAATTTATACAGTATAACTGACTATATAAAAAACATCTAAAATGTATAAAAAGTTTGTTTTCAATAGAAAAATCGTAAACAGCTATTTATTACAGCAGCACATGGCATAAAAAAATGCCTGGACTGTTAATAACTTTACGTGTATATTTGATAATGGATCTTATCTTCTTTCAATAATTTTTACGTGTTTAATGTAAATACTAGTATACAATTTTCATCACAAATAATCGTTTTGTCTTATCTTTTCAATCGTATGTATTGTCATTAGCCTCTAGAGGTCCAGGAATAAAATTCAGAAGCAACTCGAATTTTTTTCATGGGCAATAAAAGTAGCACGAATAATATACTTTTCAACTAATAAAATATTGAGCAGTTTATCTTGCAATTTACTACTATAAACATGAGCTTCATAATCAGGAAAATTAAAATACGCCTCGAGAAGAACCAATGGACGCGTACAGTAAAAGGAAGTTTAAATATTACACTACTCAAGCAACTTTATCTTCATTAAATAAATTTAAAAATTAACAATAAAAACTAAGAAATAAAATGAATTATGTAAAATGTTACTTTTTTCACGACAAAACTTTTAATTTAAGTAAAGTTTCAACGCCTTTGTCACAAACCTTTATTTAATCGCAGCATCGAAAACTAGAAAACAGTATTGTTTAAAACGTGTACAGTATACTGTATAGTCTTGAAAATTTAACAGTAAATGCCCTACCAGTATTGATATCAATATTTACGGGCGCCGCTAGCTGTTTGAACGCCCGTGTGCAATTCTGATTATGACACCCTCTGTTTAACTACGACTACCTACACCGAGCTTGCAAGAAAGGCTCTTTAATGTTGTCTCATAAGAGTGTGAAAAAAAAAGAAATACTTTACAAAGAAAAACTATTTATTATTACTAAGTTATTTTTGTTTACTTAAACGTAAAGCCATATAAATATTTATGTACCAAAATTGAACTCTTCTTGCCTTTATGTTTGCGAAATCTGCTATTAATTTTCTTGTATTCAAGCAGGCTAAGATTTTACGTTCAATTGAAACTATAGCTAAATTACTTAATCTTCGCTGGTGCATTGTTGATCTTAAATAATTTTTTTTTTGTTTTTTTATAATTTTTAACTTTGAAAAGACTTTTCACCAAATGCAACTGTAACCGGCAATGTAAGTAATATTCTTAGAACTATTGCTGTGTTCGGAAATGCTGAAATTAAGTCATTAGAAAAAAGATATTGTAAATAAAAATATAGTAATTGCGCGCCGGATTTTTTTTCCATAAAAAGACATCTTTTATGCTATAAGTAAGGTGAGTATTATGACAATGACTTTAAATATTGCGTGAACGATCGCTCGATTTGCCGCCGATGAACAGATTCTATATTTACTTATTTATCGACAATACTAAAATAAAGAAATAAATTTGTCAGTAAATACGAATTCCTGTAGCTATTTTATATACTTGTAATCAAAGTCATAAAAATGGAGATAATTTAGTTTCTAACTTTTCTATTTTTAAATATATTTAAACAATAACTACACAATAAGAATTTTAATTACTGGTAGGAGAACCAAATAAACGAATAAATCATTTTATTAATTTCAACAGGTATATTTATTTTAAAATTTATCAAAGAAAATTAATGTTATAGCTTATTAATTTATTTATTTTCATTTTACTATAATATATTGCAGACGTTGAATTGCATTATTCTTTTTTGATAGAATATATATTTTTTAATGTTGATCATTTTGCAATAGGAATGTTTTAAAAACAAAACTAAATTAAATAAAATAAGAAATGTGTAATTTAAATGCTTTTGTAAATATTACAAATCGAATCAAAGATAATCATTCTACATTTACTGTAGTTAATATGAGAGAGGAATGTAGAACTGATGGGATAAGGCAATGTAACACAGGCAATCTGAGAAGGATGTCTCACAGGTAGATTTTCTATTGAAAATTTCCCTATTTAAATGTTAGACATGTGACAAAACCCTGGAAAACTTCATACGACCAGACTATTAGTCAGGTTTGAACACATAACAACCTACCGGTGTTTGTCAGCTTTATAAACTTGGCCACCAGTGGGCCCTAATAGGAGAGACGAACACACAATATGATTTAATACTATGTGACAATGAACAAATTTCTTAATTGCTATACAAAATGCAATGTATAAATAAAATATAAATTTTTTGATAATAAAAACTAATAAAATTTTAAAATTTACAGCATAACTAACCTCTGGCATCGGAGAGAGACTTTTTTTATTTCCTTTTCCTTGAGTAGGNCTTTTGTCACAAACCTTTATTTAATCACAGCATCGAAAACTAGAAAACAGTATTGTTTAAAACGTGTACAGTATACTGTATAGTCTTGAAAATTTAACAGTAAATGCCCTACCAGTATTGATATCAATATTTACGGGCGCCGCTAGCTGTTTGAACGCCCGTGTGCAATTCTGATTATGACACCCTCTGTTTAACTACGACTACCTACACCGAGCTTGCAAGAAAGGCTCTTTAATGTTGTCTCATAAGAGTGTGAAAAAAAAAGAAATACTTTACAAAGAAAAACTATTTATTATTACTAAGTTATTTTTGTTTACTTAAACGTAAAGCCATATAAATATTTATGTACCAAAATTGAACTCTTCTTGCCTTTATGTTTGCGAAATCTGCTATTAATTTTCTTGTATTCAAGCAGGCTAAGATTTTACGTTCAATTGAAACTATAGCTAAATTACTTAATCTTCGCTGGTGCATTGTTGATCTTAAATAATTTTTTTTTTGTTTTTTTATAATTTTTAACTTTGAAAAGACTTTTCACCAAATGCAACTGTAACCGGCAATGTAAGTAATATTCTTAGAACTATTGCTGTGTTCGGAAATGCTGAAATTAAGTCATTAGAAAAAAGATATTGTAAATAAAAATATAGTAATTGCGCGCCGGATTTTTTTTCCATAAAAAGACATCTTTTATGCTATAAGTAAGGTGAGTATTATGACAATGACTTTAAATATTGCGTGAACGATCGCTCGATTTGCCGCCGATGAACAGATTCTATATTTACTTATTTATCGACAATACTAAAATAAAGAAATAAATTTGTCAGTGAATACGAATTCCTGTAGCTATTTTATATACTTGTAATCAAAGTCATAAAAATGGAGATAATTTAGTTTCTAACTTTTCTATTTTTAAATATATTTAAACAATAACTACACAATAAGAATTTTAATTACTGGTAGGAGAACCAAATAAACGAATAAATCATTTTATTAATTTCAACAGGTATATTTATTTTAAAATTTATCAAAGAAAATTAATGTTATAGCTTATTAATTTATTTATTTTCATTTTACTATAATATATTGCAGACGTTGAATTGCATTATTCTTTTTTGATAGAATATATATTTTTTAATGTTGATCATTTTGCAATAGGAATGTTTTAAAAACAAAACTAAATTAAATAAAATAAGAAATGTGTAATTTAAATGCTTTTGTAAATATTACAAATTGAATCAAAGATAATCATATAACATTTACAGTAGTTAATATGAGAGAGGAATGTGAAACTGATGGGAGAAGGCAATGTAACACATAGGCAATCTGAAAAGAATGTCTCAAAGGTAGATTTTCTATAGAAAATTCCCCTATTTAAATGTTAGACATGTGACAAAATTCTGGAAAACTCTGTACGACCAGACTATTAGTTAGGCTTGAACCCACAACAAGCTACTGGTGTTTGGTAGCTTGATAAAATTGGCCACCGGTGAGCCCTAATAAGAGAGACTGACACACAATATGATTTAATACTATGTAACAATGAACAAATTTATTAATTGCTATACAAACTGCAATGCATAAATAATATATAAATTTTTTAATAATAAAAACGACTAAAATTTTAAAATTTACAGCATAACTAACCTCTGGCATCAGAGAGATACTTCTTCTATTAGCTTTTCCTTGAATACGAAGATTTTCATTTTCATTTTCTAATTTTTTGTTTGTTTCTTTTAGAATCTCTAGTTCATCTTGCATTTTCACATAAACTTTTTTTGCAACTTTAAGTTCATGTTCTAATGTTTTCATTTTAGTTTTATCTACATCAATAACGGCAGTGGCTTGCATTTCTTTTAATCTGTTTTCTGCTTCGTTCTTTTCTAATTCTGTCTGTTCACATTTTTTCTCCAATTTGCGTAATTTAAACTGTAAAACTCTACAGTTTTTGGATATTGCTTCAATTTCTCTCTTTAAATTTCTGAATTCCGATGCTTAATCCTCTCGAAAATTATCATGTAATTCTTCTAATTCTTTCTTTGATTCACGAACTTCCTTTTTAATTTCTTCATTTTGTTCCATTAAATCCTCACATAATTTTTCGGCTTGATGCAACTTTTCTGTTAAGCCGTTCACTTTTGTTGCTACTTGTTCGGGCGTTTCTCTCTTTTTCAATTCATTTTAAACTTTTTTAACTTCTATTTTTAAGCTTTTATTTTCATCTTTTAATTCTTCGTTATTAGTTTCTAATTCATTAACTTTCGTTCTAAGTTTTAATAACTCTGAAGCAGTTTTCTCTAAAGATCTTTTATCTGCTTCCGAAACCATTTTCCTTTGTAAAATATCCTTCTTTTCTTTTTCGAGTCGAGTACATTTTTCTTCCAAGGATTCGATTTGTTTCTTTTGGGATGCTATGGTCGACTGCAAATCCTCAATGGAATCCTGATATACGAGAGTTGTTTCGGTCGTTTCGGTATTTTCTGTGGCGGCGACACTTTCGGAATCGCCGT